TTATTTGTCATCCTGACGGTTTTACCATTGTGCAATTGTATAAAATACCTGATTTGGTATGTGTGTGGCTTGAAACATAACCTCTTTTCCGGAGGAGCGGGTAAGGGGCCGGCACAACAGATTCAGTTCATGGAAACCAGGTTATAAGCTGGGAACTAGGTTGGAAACAACAATAAACTAAGCACCAGCAGGAGCCTCCATGGACGAGTGGGTACAGTCCCGACATGGATACCATCCAGATGCTGGTGCAAAATGTAGTTTCAGTTTTAATGGTAACTAGGTTATAACTTGGAAACCAGGTTGAAACCTACAACAAACCAAAACATGGAAACCAGGTTGAAACCTACAACAAACTAAAACATGTAAACAGGTTGAAACCTACATCAAACTAAAACATGAAAACCAGGTTGAAACCTACAATAAACGGAAACCAGGTTGAAACCTACAATAAACGGAAACATGGAAACCAGGTTGAAACCTACAATAAACGAAAAAACGGAAACCAGGTTGAAACCTACAATAAACGAGAACACGGAAACCAGATGGATCCTGCTTGGAGGAGTGGGTAATGAATCGCACTGGAAACCAGCCGGAAATGGTGCAAAATTCAGTTTCAGTTTTCATGGAAACCACAATGAAACTATAGGAAACTACATGGAAACCAACTGGAAATGGTGGTTTCCATGTCGTTTCTTCTCAGTTTCAGTTTTTTCGGAAACCAACGTATTTTTGAAGTGAATACCACGTCTCTAACTCACGTCGCTGGATTACAAGTCCTACGCTCTACCATCACACCACCAGGACTCCCAATAAGTTAATTTTCGGAACTTTGGGTCTAGGCTGGAGGCACATCGGAGGATGCCTTGCGCTACACCCTCACCGTTTTTAAGGGGGGCTGAGGGGCTTGAGTCCCATAAATACGCCTCTAAGCCGCATGTGATGCAGAACCCCCATTGTACTACTACTGAAAGTCATTTTGGTTTAAACATATTTTATTATTATTTATGAAAATGAATTGGGATTGGTGAGCAAGCATTACTGCTTATGTTAACACCGCTCCCATGCAACATAAAATACAAAATGAAATGGAGGATGTGACGTCATCGATATTGACTATTGCATAAATATATTTTTAAGTATACATCAAATACAACTATTCTCTAAATAGTCATAATTAGAGAGTTACAGTTGTGTGTGTCTAACAAGCTATTGTAGGAATATAAATCAATCATGAGAAGGTTGTTGAGTTAATTTAAGTATTTTCCTGAGACAATTTGAAGCAGTGTGTCTTGATATAATCGTGGACAGATTCATCTATTTTCTGGTTTACACAAGGAGTAAATTCTTTGTTTCTGTTCAAAATGGTATTCAGGTTATAACGTAAAAAGGATTTGGCATAAGAGGCAGTTCGACTGTAAACTTGTATTTCAGAGTTATTTCTTAAACTATATCTTGTAGTTTCGGAGACTGATGTAAATCTGAGTAGGTAAATTAATTTCTCTTTCAAATGATCACGAAAAGTTACCTACACAAAGTGTATGTTAATCAATTTATCTTATACAGTTTCATTAAGACTTCCACAAGATTCAGTTACATAGCAAATCAGTATGGTGTGTTTTCTTTGTAAATTACCTACTCCACTGTCTCATAACTGGGAGCCTCACAATTGGGAGTTCTCACAAATGGGGGTAGACCTCCTATCCTGCTGTTTACAGTTTCAATATTATTATGTGTATCTTTTAGAACATACATAGGCTGTACATTTTTTTTCCTTTGAAAGTTTTTTTTACAGCAATATTTACATTGGAAAATGACACATTTAACATAGTACACCAATCTATAACCTTAACACAAGTGTTAGAGGATGAAATGTCAACATAACGGCAACAGTTCCAATATGCTGTATTGTAATTTCGTATATCCTGGTTAATGAAAAGCTATTCAATTTGATGTTACTAAAAAACTGACAATAGATATTTAAGAAAATTAAATGTTTTATCTATATGCACACAATTTTTAAAGGAATTTTCTTGGTCACTGGATGCGATCCACCATCCTGTGCCTATGGCCATGCTGACCTTCCTCCCCCTACTACGGCCAACCCTTATGAGACGAGAGCCTTGACCTCTATGATGGCGCTACACAGAAACTGTTCCCTTCACGCCATCATAGAGGGTAGTTTTTGGAGATTGGACACGGTCTTCGCCTCACACTACCTCCGGGATCTGTCTGTCACTGATGTGGAAGGTCTTCACCAACTGGGTCTGTTGGTTCTGCCGCAGCAGTTGTCGTCAGCTCACAAACGCAGATAAGATGCAGTTCCTACCTTCTTGTCAGTCTTGCATTCTCTATATCAATGAAAGATATCGATCCTATATTTCTTGTTGGTATGGATTATATTTGGGCATAGATCACCTCACCTAGCTGGAACTAGGGCGTGTTAGTACTGTCATACCCATGACTCGATAGACTGTGAGGCCAGTCTTGTACTTTATGCAGAAGTGGTCGACACTCCACTTGTATACTCTCTGAGCAATCACGTCAGCGAAGAGTTGATTTCCAATTCCCTACATGGTTTTCGAAGCGTTCCGCTCCTAAGTCCTTTCTCACCTTTGATAAGTTTGATTAGTACTAACTGTTAAACGAGTTGAGCAACCAGACTGTTCTCCCTTTCACCGCCTTCCAGTGTGTGTCTGGAGGAGATAGTTTCGAAGCAGGGGCTGTCCAGCTTAAGGTCTTCGACTTAAGTTCACTGGGGTCACCTGATAAATCGCAGAGAGGCACTGCCTACTTGCAAAACTGTGTCCTTTTGCTTGTCGAAAGTTGCGTCTGGAAACCACATTAATTCGGGACCGTCCACACCCTAGAGTTTTTGTGCTGTTTAAGAAAAGGGTTTATCAGAAACAACCCATCACAAGTTCGGAGTTAGCATATCGGGAGTTGGTGCTTTCTCCAGGCCTCCTTGTGTTATGCGACCTCACGGTTGAAGAGTTGACACAGGGTAATCTGCGGCCCACCATCCAACCATGGGATAATGCACACCGTAAGATAGGATAAGTTTAAAAATTTGGAAATTTTATCCATAAATTGTATATTTATATACTTATCCTATCTCCCTCAATGGATTCCCACCCGACCTGCCCCTCATCACAGAGTACTGCAAGCTCCAAGACGAGAATGACATCACATGATCATCTGAGCAATGCTTATAGAGATGATTGACAGGTCATGCTATTAGAGTGGGGGCAGAGGTCAGGTGGGACAGAGGCCAAAAGATTTGATTCAACTTAGCCTACAGCACATTTCCATATTTGGGTCGAAGAAGAGAGAGGTGCATACCGTGAGATAGGATAAGTATATATTAATATATGTCGCAGTGTTTTAAAACACGACCACTGGGCTGGTGTTCAGTCTCTTTATTATGCCATTTGCCTTTTCCATTTGGGGTTTGTCAAACACGAGCGTGCCATAAACCAGTAATTATGGAAATTACATAGAGGTCTGCCACTGCCAGCATGGTGTGTCTTTATAAATTAATATGACAAGTAAAACTATTGTGACATTTTACATAATTATTAGATATAAATAATTATGAAAGTTAATGGTTACTAAACCATTATTAAATATAATTATTTGAATACAGGATTACACCTGACTTAATTATGAGAAATTGTTTTAATATGAACAATTCAAACAAACTTGCGTACCTGTAATTAGGGAAATTACATAGAGGGCTGTCACTGCCAGCATGGTGTGTTCCGGGCACGTGGCACATGCAGCTTTTATATCACCTGAGTGCACAGATTGCAGGAGCAGCATGTGCCAGAGCCCAGGATGTTCCAGCTGGCAGCCAGCTCATCTGTTATGGCAAGCTGTTAGGGACAAAAATTGTGAAATGTGCCAGGGGGTGCTGTGCAATACATTGTATGAACAATTGAACCTGTCACATATACAATTTATGGTTAAAATTTCCAATTCTTAGCAATGACTATTTTTCAAACTATTTTATATTTGCATTTGAATTTACAGACGTTATGAAAATGTGTGTCCGACAAAATACCTTGGGAACCAAAGGGTTAAGGAAAGGTTATGATGGTTCCCATGGTTCCATTAGGAGAGATCACCCATTAGAAATTATATTCAAGGTAAACTTGTGGATTCAGGAAAAAGGCAATCAAGTGTTATGCTTGACAACGGTACAAGAATCTGTATCGAAACGTCGCACTCACGAATAAAAAGAAGTTGTTATCCATAAAGTTTGTTCTATATTGTACTTCCCAACTTCTAAAATGCCACTCAAAGAAGTTAAGTGTTAGAGGTATTATTAAAAAAAATATGAATGATAATGTTGAGGATTGAATCATTGTTGATAAAATTTCACCAATTGTTTTTATGCCCACCATAAAGTGGAAGGAGGATACAGCTTTGAATTGTTGGTCTCTCATCTGTAGTTTTGATTGACGGGAAATCATTTAGGGATAAATATGCTGATACAGCCTTAGAAATTTGAGAATATATTTTAAGAATAGTCCAGATGACTACAAGAAATCTGGTTTGACTGTTGTTTTCAGAGTTTGTAGCTGGTCCTGCTAGAGCAAGACATAGAGAGATAAATATGAAGGTGACAAAAGATGCATGAAACAATACCTCAGTGTATAATGTGCACCACTACCCCTAATCCTTTTGATACAAATTTCAGGTAAAATTGCTATATTGAACAGTGTCTGCACCCACAAATGAAGATATTAGTGTTTGTGCTGGCAGACCAAGGATATTGCAATTAATTTTGAGACATAGCGATGCTGTACTCCAACAAAAACAGAATTCTACCCTTGTACTCAATCTTCAACTTATTTCAGGCGTACATACTCCTAAGGGTTAAAAATCATCTGGAGCACTCATTTTCATAAAAGATGAGACACATACCTCTAAAATAGTTAACAGAAATAGATGACTTACTGCCTTCAATTACTGATTTGTGTATTTCTGTCATATTTCAGGTATGGTTTTGTGTCATTTGACAATGAACAGGTTACACAGAAGAATCTCATCAAATACAAAAGTGGTAAAGTTTTCAAGGAACAGATGATTCTTGCCACATATGCAAAGATGAAAGAGAAAGATTCAAATGAAAAGAGAAGAAACCTACAAGAGATATCAGGTATCTATTGCATGTAATAATCTTGAGTTGTCAACATCTCTTGTATTTGTATTATTATCCGGGGGGATAGTCAACGTATAATTCGTCTGTCTATCCGTAATCATTTTATTTCCTGAGCATAACTCAAAAACTGTTCAAATGTTTTCAACCAAAATTGGAAGATACCGTATATTACCGTAGATAAGCCGAATTTTGAGGACCAAATAAAGCATTCTGTAGAAGGGGGTCGGCTTATCTATAGGTTACACTTTCGTCAAACTCTTTTCCAGGGGTAAGAAAACAACATTGTGTCACTTCGCGTGAACAAACAACAGACGATGACTTTGTCAGTAACAACGTCAAATTTACAATTAAACATCACTATAGTCTGTTTGACTTCATTTGAGACCGATGAATTGCTCACTAACACAAAATCTAATAATTGCAACACAACCAAAGTTTGCACAGTCACATGAAATCAACAGACCAACTCCGATGATTTGCTTCATAATTTTGGACACCCGAATAAAAAAAGTTGTTTAACAAACGATCATTATTTTGTTGTCACTTTTCGCTATTTCTTACGAGGGAGGACCACTTGCTGTTAGAACAGCCAGGTGTGCGTCGTGTAAGTGTGAAATTGCAATTTCATTGCACACGCTTGTTGATTACCTGGCTGTTCTACCAGCAAATGGTCACCCCTTGTAAAAAATAGTGAAAATGACAGCAAAATAATGATCGTTTGTTAAACAACTTTTATATTTGGGTGTCCAAAATTATGAGACAAATCATCAGAGTTGGTGTGTCGATTTCGGACTATAGACAAGATTATTTACCTTAAGTTCTAAGTTGTTTTTCTGGGCATTGTATTATTTGCAGGGATTAAGATTACCGTGTGTATTTGAGCTGGAAATAGCAATCAGCTGTGCACACGTTTCCCGGCGATCAAGTTCAAACATGCACAATAATATAAATGGGATGAATTCTGACACAGTCATCAGTAAAATATAATACAGAATACTATTATTTAACCCAAAGAAATATATCCTAGCATTGTGTAATTTCAATTACAGAGGATTTACAGTTTTTGCTCTATAAATTAATTAAGATTAAGATGACCGTGTGTATTTGAGCCAGAAATAGCAATCAGCTGTGCACATGTTCCCCGGCGATCAAGTTCAAACATGCACAATAATATAACAGGATGAATTCTGACGAAGCCATCAGTAAAATATAATACAGAATACTATTATTTAACCCAAAGAAATATATCCTAGCATTGTGTGATTTTAATAACAGTTTTTGCTCTATAAATGTAAAATATGTATAATCAACACTAAGGTTATACAGTACCTCATGAATGTGGTAAGTGGAAGTTGTACGCACATGGAATGGGGTAAAATAAGCAAGCTATTTAAATTCACACATTTTTACCGATGTTACTGTAAACTTGCAGTCCATGGAAAACGAGCCGGTAAATGGTTTAAACATATTTTTATTCCGTCAATACAGAAACCTGGATAGGCGAACAAGCCAAGTGGCTTATATAAACGCCGCTCCAGTACACGGTTCCAATATAGCTGGATACATATTTGAAATAGTCCGACAAGAAAAGAATACTACTGAAACAAAATTACACTCAGAAAAATGATTGAATAATAAATATTTGGTTATGGTGTTGGTTGTGCCTAGCAACGAAAAGAGCTGCCGCAAAAAAATCAAGTTATATAAATCTTGTCTTGCATTGAATATACATGTATATGTAGAGGGCGCTTACTTTTAGAAATGAACTGGTGTAATGAGTTTAGAATGTCACAATTTGTTGAGTTATCCAATGCGCCGTTACCGTATAAGGTAGTTTTCACATCGTATCCTTGAATAGAAAAATACACCGTTGTTCTTAAATTTTGATAGAGCCGGTAAATCAGTTTGTGATTATTGAATGGGGTAAAATAAGCAAGCCAGTTTGTTGACATGTGATCGTCCAGCAACATTAAAGGTAACATGCAACCAAAAAATCTAACATAATTAAAACACAATTATCACTTATTCATGACATATAATATACATTGCTGATTATGAAAATACATATAAACAAAATTATAAGCGTACAATCGCAAATCAAAAGTGCAATATTTTGTACTTGGGTTTACTTCCCAAGAAACGAAGCAGCCGTGCACTCAAGTGTAACGGCTGGTTCATTTGCAGATGCCCTCATGGCTCATTGTGTGTGTATATAGAGAGGTGTTGGGTTTTGTAAATACATGCTCATGTGTATAACATTTTGCAATCAACAGACATCATAACATGTCATGTGTACAAGTATCACACCTGCCTGTCTGTGTAATTACATAATGTGACAGAGGCCGAACTCGGGCCATAAATCAGTGCGTTTTGTTTATGGGGTATAGCCTGATAGGTGTTAAGTTCAAATTGCATGTGGTCAGTGATCGAAGTTGTGTATTGAATATAGTCATTAGCAGACAGGCAGGCAGACACATAGGTGTCAATAAAACAGACATTGAGTTTTGTCTGTGACAACAACATATCTATATCACAGTTAGAAATTCTGTCAACGCTAAATAATGACATTGTTTTTAAGTATCGTACTGAGAAAGTGACTCGGTAAGAAGAACGTGTGGTGAAATAGACAAATGAAATTATATAAACTGTTAAATCGGTCATCTACTGTCATAACCTTCACCGAGTATTCACCAGACAACCCGCTTCCAAGCTGAGCGAACATATTTCACTGTGCATGTGCTATGAGGGTACCGCTATGAGCGCAGCCCAGCTGTTGAAACCAGCTGTTGAAAATTAGTGAATCGTTTGAACTCCGATTTCACACGTTTTTTACATTGCGTTTTTTTTCAACTTTATATGTTGAATTTGCATTTTTGATGATTTGTTTCGGTAAGTCCATACCGAAAGGTATCAGAATCTGCAAAGTTGTGTTTTACGTTGCATGTGACCTTTAAGTATGATATTTAGCGAAACAAAATATATTATCCATTTTCTTTCAAAAACACTTCATTTCGATGCGTGAGTAGACGCAATATGATTGTGAATTCTTTGAATAATGTGGACCAAAGTTATAATTATTGGTAACTGCCAGTTGTCTGTGGTCTGTGTTTGCAGCGATTAGGACCCCATCACAGGGAATCGGCTTATGTATGAAACATACCATTTTGACACTGATTTTAAAGGTCAAGTTTTGGTGTCGGCTTATCTATGGGGTCGGCGTATCTACGGTAATATATGGTACTTCAAACAAAACCAGAAGTGGTGACTTTTGCTATTTACAGATATTTAGCTTTTTATTTTTCTCCATGGAAACAGTTTGGACTTAGTCTCAAAAAGGTGTGGATTTTGTTTCCAGAGCATCACACAAAAAACAATCAATATCTATCAACAAAACTTGGCATATATATGAGACAGATCCCAAAGTGGTGCCTTTTGCTCTTTGTGGATATCTGGCATTCGATTATCATGGACTTTGCCTCAAAAGGGAGGGCTGCGCTCCATTTCTGGAGTACAACTCTAAAACCGTTCAATATCTTTAAAAGAAACTTGGCCATAGATGTTTTTGTTCATTAAGATGCTTCCTAATGTTTGTAATTGTTTTGGAACTGTTAGTTGAATTTGTGGATATTAATACTGTTCATTACTTAATTCGAATCATCAGTGGCTTGACATGAGTTAGAGCAACTGTTTCCTTTGCACTCACTGCACACAATGGAACAATCTAAACCATGTTTTCAACACGTGCACTTTCTGGTATCACAGTTTGTTTTGCACTTGAACCGTATGATCTTCATCAGTGTTTCCGGAGCAGGAGCAATGTCAGTTTTATTTGGCATAAGTCTGCCTTGTGACAGCACCCAACCCCAACTACATGGGTCTAATTTGGTATCACTTTTTGTGGTCCACGCCTGAACTTGCAGATATGTTCTCAAACTATGGAACTTGGTGGCAGCGGCTTGAGAACTTTTCTGATCTTAATGTGTTCAGTTTCTTTTGATCACTTCTACCATACAAGGCTGAAACAAGATGTTCCTCAGCCTTGGTGACATCTTCTGTGGTGCTTGTTTCACGAAGGAAGACTGTGGCTGAAGATATTAGGTGGTCACATCTGGAGATCGATTTCATTGCGGCTCCTTTCCCAATTCCAAACAAATGAGAGGTTGTGTCACATCCAATGATTGCATGGATGACAGGCAAGACTTGACAGGTATCTGTACCTAATACACTCTGGGCTTTTCATATGTCCCATACTTTGAGTTTACTGCCTCCCTGCTTGTCCGACATGAAAAAGATTTTGTTGCCTTCCGGTACATAGAGATGCAAAAGAAGCACCAACAGGTCAGTATCCTCTCCAAGCAAGATGGTTGTTTTCATTCTGGCTGATTCAATAGCTGTCCGTGAAATCAAAATAGCATGTTTTGTTTCAGTGCCATCTTCATGAAGTTTGGAGCTGAGCATTGTTATAAAGTTTTGTTTGTTTTCATTGTTTGCTAGAAATGCATCATTCTTGGTACGGTAAGGAGTGTTGCCTTTAAAGGATGCTTTCGTACCAACAATTCCCTTTGATCCCCGAAGATGCATAGCGTCCTTTGTGTCAGGTCCTGAATTGTACCCATCAAAGACAACCACAGCTTCTTTGTAGCGTAGCGTTCATAGCTTGAATATGGTGTACAAATGTCCTCAAATGTTTATCTAAGACTGGCAAAAAATCTGTGGACAACTTTCCAGGATAGAACCCTTTCATAGATTTGTGCATAAACGCCGACCAAATTGGGCTTGTACATCTCAAAGGCCAAGTATCTGCTGAAAGTAACTCCCATTTTCCAGGTTTTATCTTGGATTTCCATTTCCTGCAGAATGTCAAAGACCAAGGAACCAGGAACCCCTACATAATCAACAATATTGATTTTAGCTATGTCAGCTATTTCCTGTGGAGTTGGATTTTTCCTAAGAACAGTTCTCTTGCTGATGTACCCTGGTGTAGTTGCTGATATGAT